AAACCCTAAACCTAAAGTTTAGGGTTTAGGGTTTAGGGTTTAGGGTTTAGGGTTTAGGGGTTTAGGGTTTAGGGTTTAGGGTTTAGGGTTTAGGGTTTAGGGTTTAGGGTTTAGGGTTTAGGGTTTAGGAAACGCCCTAAGTCCCAAAGCCCTTAACTTAAATCCTTAAATGCCCTAAACCCCTAAACCCTACAACCTAAACCCATAAAGCCCAGAAAACCTAAAAGATCCCTTCAAAGAATTGGGCCAAGTGACACCTTTCCCAGAACAGCCTGGAGTTTGTCTAGGTCTAGCGGCCATGGCCGATTGTTGTCACCAACTTCACCAATCGCGTTGATCTTGTCGGTCTCACCCATGTTGCAGGTCAAAGCCTCACTGCAAACAAACACACTGCAACGCAAACAAGTTTAATGGAAACACAGCTTGTTCTGACGAAGCTACCTTCGCCAAGAGATCCATAGTCGGGCTCATCACACATGGCTTGGTGACCCGAGAAAGTTTTTGCGCAGCCCCATCAAGCACATCTTGCTTTCGCTGTTCCCAAAGAGTCGTGAACTCCTGTAGTTGCTGCTGGAACGACGCTTCTGTGTCTTTGTCGACCTGAGCACTGAGGACTGGCAGTCAGCAAGCGTCAGCATGAGCCCCCATGCTGATGCAGTTTCCATGTTGAACGCACCCCTCATAAAACCACCGCCCCCACGCCCACCCCACCCCCCACCCCATTCCGCGCAACGCATCAAACTAACGACGGCAGCAATAAATACCAACGCAGGCATCTGTGTTGCCCAAATGCCAGCAACTTCACAATGTTCTTCTTGGGGGTACGCACGATGAAAGGCTGGCCCCAGGCTAGAAAAGGCTCGAAGTCGCCACCCTGGGCCTTGGGCATCTCCACTGGAATCCGCCTGTGCATGGGGAATTTGCCGAGATCCTGCATGACAGGCAAGTCTTGGTCCGTGATCTCGGCTGCTCGGATGCGGCGTTGCTTGCCAGTGGTTTTCTTCTGGTCATCGCCGTCGGCTTCCGCATCTTTGGCCTCTTTGTCTTTCTTTTGCTGTTCTTTTTTAGCCTCTCTGTCTGCATCCTGTTCAGCAGCTACAACCAACAAGACTGCAACGCAGCACACATCCTGGTTGAAGCCACGACGAAATCACGCTCCTTCTTGGCTTTCTGCGCAGCACGCTTCTCGCGATCCACTCGTTTCCTCTCAGCCAGCTCGTCTGCCTGAAAGCTGACGAGCCACGAACGCCTTACATCTACAGCCTACCTCGTCGCGTAAGTACTTATGCTGAAAGGCAAGGTTAAGGCCTTCTGCAGCTCCCTCTTCTCATTGAAGAAATCTTTCTTACACGATCGCCAAGCAGACATCAGCTTGAACAGGTTCTTCAAGTGCAACTGATGCTTCTCGAAGTACGCTCGCGCATCAGCTTCCTCAGAATATGTCTTTCAGCTTAGCTATTGCTCAAGACTGTTCTGAAAATCACGCACCAATAAGGTTCACACAGTGGTTGCTTTGTCCGACCACTCGTTGCGTTCTTTGCCGATGTCAGCCACACTGATCAATGCATCCGCGTCTTTGAATTCGGGGGCCGGCCCGAGGAACGGGTCCCGCCGAACCAGATGCATTATCTTGTCTGCGGTCACTGCCGTCGTTCCATCAGCATCCGGCCATTCCTTCCGGATCCCGAAGCACATCTCGCAGATGACCGTGCGGAGCTTCAACATCTGAACGGCATTTGCAACAAGCACCTCAGGATTGAGATCCAAGTTGCTCGGCCCGATGTCGCCCTCGTCCGAACAATGTCCACCGTCAATCACCAAGGCATCGCGGACTTCTTGGACTTCACGCTGGAACTTCACAGGCATGTCCAAACAATCCTGGTACTTGTCCATCGTGGCTACTTTGTTCTTCGCGATGGTAACCTCAAGCCAGCATGTCACAAAGCAAAGCCGCTTGTTAAAGCTGCAGGAGTGCAGTCAAGTGTTGAGCGGAACTAAGCTGGTAGCAGAGATATTCTTGATTCTGGCTGGTTTCTTGGCTGTTGTGTCGCTGAGGCCCTTCTCAGTGCTGCCTCCAAGCTTTCCGGTCCTTGCTTGCGAAGTTGAAGTGGAAGCTTGTCCCTTCAACATTGATGCAGCGCTCGGATCATTCTGGACCGGAGGACGGATGTTGTCAAAGGCATCATCATCCTCGAAGAGAGAAGTTGTGCTCGCTGCCTGGTAGGCGTCATCCAGGTCTTGCACTTGGACACTCGTAGGCCTGTCGCGTCGGTTGCCTGATTGATTGATGTACGCCTGCTTGGCATAGCTCTGATTGTCGACGTATGTCTGAATGATGACGGCTAGTCGTACTACTTTGGGTCCATTGGGAAGTCCGTTAGCATCTGGCATACGAACTTCATCTTGGGCAACGGTGCGGTGCGTTTTCTCGTAATGCCACCTGTTGGTGGCCTGCGTAGCACAAGCATGGGGAAGTTGGCACAACAGAACGACCGGGTGACATGCACAGACAGATTCAGAGTGCAGAGCTCGAGACTCTGCCTGCTCCTTGGTGAGCTTCATCGGGTAGTCGAGCTCAGTGTAATGTTTGATGTATTCCGCGAAACATTTCATCACCTTAAGCTTCTCAGGTAATATGCATCTACACGGGATTGCTACCTAAGGCGCTGACAGCAAAATCTCCGTTCGCTTTTTTTCTTCCTTTCTCTTTCTGAGTAAAGAAGGCAGCGAAATCGAAACGGGGCCGCGCAGCCCCTCGACCCTTTGATCCACACCTGAGCCCATGACACATGTTGTCAGTGCCAAAACAGCTGTCCACATTTCTTCCCTGTACACCTTGGTGAACGGCATCGCGTACACTAAAAGCGAACCGGAAACATGCTTTGTCGAACTACAAGTTACAATGTGCAGCCTGTAGATTCATGAATCTGTGGACACAGATGCGAACACTTGTGAGTCAAGTTTCTCCTTGCGAAACTGCAGCACCATGGAGTTGAAAGCTGTCGGATCGGAACGTCGCAGCTCCTTGATTTTTTCCAGCTGCCCGTCTGCGTCTTGGCGTGCTTGGACGAAAAGGGCCCGCATGGCCAACCGATCCTGACCCCACAACCGTACCATACAGTATTGTGGCGGCATCTTAACATATATTTGCAATATACACACACAATCAAACAGCCCCTCCTCCGAGCAAACACCCGCCAGGTGGTCCGAGACAGCAGCCGCGAGCTCGCGTGCCGTCATTTTTTTCTCGCAAACGGAGCATGTGCTTGAGCTTTCCACCACAGCTGGAAGAGCCGGCAAATCCTCGTCTCCCAGCCCTCGCATATCCTGACGTGTGTCACCTCCCATGGTGGCAGCGCTACAGCTACCACCTCAGAGACTTGAAAAAAACCGCTGGCGCAGCGAGCCAATGCCAAAGACGACACACCCATGAGAACTTGCAGCTGCATGATAGGTTGATAAGCATCGGACAAACTCTTTGGCAAAGCGATGGCAGAAGCATTGGACAAAAAAACTGTGATTTCTCTTTGGCAGCTCGGCAGGGTCTTACGAGCCCGACTCACTGTGGATCAGCCGGGCTTCGGTCAACAAGCACATCAAGATGGTGCCAACAACCGCTGCGTGCATTCCGTTCCCGCAAAGGTTGCGAATTTCCCCGTCGCTAAGCTGGGGAAATGTACTTCGCATCTTACTGCAAACCCCCTTCTCGCTGTCCGACCGTCCTTGAACCGGCATCCCCATCACAAGAAAGAGGTCCTGCAAGTGCTCACGAAGAAAATGAGAGACAAACAAATTGCCGGCCAAGCCACTTGACACAGCATATAGCTATTTAATTTTCCTGGTCAAACCCGAGTCCTTGCCCTGAAGAGGCATGCCCCTGTTCATCAGATGCAAAGTGCTGCTGCGAAGCAAAGTAGGACACATATGTCCGGCGATCGGCCGGTTTCCTGGTCTTTGATCAAGATTCACGGCCTTAGTTGGTCGGGCATATATATATATATATATCACCCAAGATCGGCCCACTGTCTTGTGAAATCACATGAACTCAGTGCACAAAACACGGCGGGGTACCACCTCCAGACCGGCCGCTAGCCACTTGTGCACCTTGGGCACCTGCGTGTACTCCTCGAGACGCCTCTTTTTGGCAGCCGGAAGCAAATCCACATAGGCAGCGCTCATCGGCTTCTGATGTCTTTTGGATAGTTCTGCTTTCCACTCCTGCACCTCAACAACTACGCATGTTCTGTCCAAGGCCAAAGCAACGACAAGTCTAAACTTGAACGTTCAGCGTGAGCCTCTTCATCTAAACTCTGCCAGAAGATGCCACAATCCAGAACCGGACGACTTTGCAGCGTCCGAACAAGATCCAGCCTCACGCGTGCAAAATCCAGAGACATGTCCATCAATCCTTCAACCAAATTCGAGCAAGGGCCTACGGCCTACACCAGTAGACCGACAGCAATCAGCAAGATCAAAGGTCCGGTTGTTCAAGTACTCAGCAGCCGGCCCATCTGGCAAAACAAAACGCCCGTTCAGGACCCCCAGGGTGTATCGCCGAGGGCGACGAGCAGGCCAGCCTGTAGCAGCAGCAGTCCCACGAAGCAGAGCTTACACACGTGCACATGTTCCGTCAGAAGGCAGCAAAACACACCGACATGACAGTGCCTAGGTGGTGTGGGGATATAAGGCCAGACGTTGCATTCATCGCTGGCAAAGATACCCATGTGTAATCTTCCAAATGCATCTCGAGGATTCCGGTGTTGAAAGTTGGCGTGCACTCGTGCAAGATAAAGTCCTTGTCTTTGCTTCAGCTACAGGAACAGCGATGTACGGGCATGCAACATCAAGAAAGACTTTCAACATATATGTGGACAGACAGACACACACGCAGACAGACAAGTGTGTGGACTGCAGGCACCTCACGTGCACGTTTGCGTTGCGCAAGCCATATTGCCAGCGTCCTTGCCGTCGGACCCAGCAGCCCTTTCCGCTTACCCATGATGCTCACATCATAACATTCCGTTCCCGAGACATTGATTGCAACGATGTTCTTCTCCTTGCGCAGCTTCGCCAAGGTCACGTGAGGCAGTTGACAGGCCCTGCCATGGCGATGGCCTCAGCAAACCAACGCAAAACACGAGTGTTTCTTGAAGCTCTCTACTGCAGTGACATACATGCGAGCCGGCGACACTGGGAGTGATCCAGAAACGCACCAGGTTTATCCAAGACCTGGAGCATGCGGCTCAGCAGCTCCTGTCCGATGTTGTTTTCGGCCTCTTTGCAAGAAGCACCTTGCAGCTCGTTCTCAGCCCAAGATACGACCTCATCTAGCGCTTGCAAGGTTCCTCTAGTCAAGCGCCCATTGATATCGTCATGTATGTGCACAGGCTTGTGATCCAGGCTGGTCAACATCTTTAAGCAAGTGGGGTCACTGTCCGCCACATGCAAACTCAACCAGCGCGGCAATTCACTCAGCAGGCCTCCCGTTGAGTCAGCAGAAAATGTTGCACATGTCAGTGACGGCTACTGTACATGACTAGAAGCGCTCTCGGTACGACATGTCCAGCCTGTTTTCTTGAAAGCCCGCAAGGCCATTTGTGTTGCAACTTCTGCCGTGCCCATGCCCGAAAACTCGCTCGTCAAAACTAGGTTGCGGGTGTTGTGCTGCAAGCGCTGCTTCAGCTGATCAATGTCATCGGCCTCCGTGGCTGCTGCTTGGAGATCTGCAGCTACACGAACCGACCACTGAAAAAGATCTTGCAGCGACGACGGCCCAGCAGGCAAGCTAGCATCACCGGACCCATCATCAGATCCGTCGTCGCTGTCATCGTGTTTGTTCTTCGTCATAGCCTTACGCACAGTTAACAGCTAGCTTCCAAAAGCCACACACAGGAGCACAGAATCTATCACTGCAATTCAACAACAGTAAATCAAATGCACACGAAGCGCATCTGCAGCATCTGCACACTCGTGGTCTTCCTCGACTTCTTGGCCCACCTCACCTCCTTCTTCATTGTTTCCCTGCGCCGTGCATACGGTATCGCTAGAAGTGGTAGTAGTAGAAGTAGTTGTTGTTGTTGTTGAGCTGCTGGAAGCAGACTCCGATGTTGTTGAACCAGAACTGGCACTGGTAGGGTCGGCAACAGACCCCACTTCTTGTGGGGCCTCTACGGCCTCACCCGGCACATTGTCTGCCATGCTACCAACCGACAACGAAAGTGCGGCCTCTACGCAAGTCGCCGTTCTTGACAAAAGTTGTGACTTATGTTGGTTCATGTGTCGGGCAGCCAGGCGGAAGGAACTAAAGGATGCATGTCATGTTCCCACCATCTAGTACTTAGTAGCGGCCATTGACATGTCTGGGGCAAGCCACAACAAGGTCATATATGATAGGGTGCACAGGCAGCGGCGCAACACTTTGATTCAAACGAAGCTGCAAGCAAAGCTGCCCTGCAAACAGATATACGGAATCCTCATCTTTCCCGCTTCTGACTTCTGCTATACCTGCCCTCACTCCGCACTGCTGGACGTGCCCCTTGTAGCCTGCGACGCTCTAAACTAGATCACTTGCAGAACTCCATGAAGTTCTGCTATCAAGTCCTTTGGAGGCTGTCTTCACTCGTCTTCACGAGGTTGAAAGGGTGTGGAGGGGGCTTAGGGTTTGGGGATTTTGGTGCGGCAGAACTAAAGCCTGAATTGCCTGAATCCTGCAGCCTGCAACCATGGCATGGGCTTACGGGTCTGTGTCTCTAGAAGGCGTAGGAGGCTTCGGGGCTTTGTGCGGTTTTCGGTCCGGGGTGTGGGGCTGTTAAAGAATCTGCCAACTCTCAGACACTGACACTACCGACTATCATTGGAGATTATTCTGTAGTGCTGGCTCACTTAGTTTATGGTTCTCAATGCAGGCTGGACTTTGGGGTCGGGAGTCCATCAAGCCTCAAGCCTTACGCCCCAAGTCGCCTAAGTCCCTGCCTGACCCACACGAAACCCAAGCCTATCTGGTCGTGTATTATATTACTATCTGTTGTTTGTAGTTTGTATTTTGTACTTTCTACTTTGTACTTTGTACCCACCCCCGACAACCTAACTTAACCCCTCAAACCCTATAAACCCGGAGCCCGGCCCTGCCCTAAACCCTAAACCGCAAAGTAAATAAATCCTATCAAACCAAGCCCTATAGACCCTAAGCCCTCTACACCCTCGGCCCTATAAACCCCAAGCCCTATAAACACCAAACCCGATACGCTCTAATCCTTGTAAGCCCTAAGCCCTATAAACCCTAAGCCATATAAACCCTGGCCCTCAGCCTCAGCCTTATAAACCCTTGAACTTCAAACCCCTATCCCCCAAACCAAAACTCCAAAGCCATGGCCCCATCGGCCATCGCCCTCGAACGGCTCGGGCGACTCAAGTTCGTCGCCTCATGGGAGCGGCTTCGAGAAATGAAAGCTTCGTGAGGTCGGGTTACGCAGGCTTCGGGTCCAGGGCTTATATAACGAAGCGTCACCAGTCTATTGCTCGCTTCGGGACGTCACGTGCTCCTGTGTTCCTCCTCTAACAACAAAACTGGTCTTTTGTAAGCACTTGTTCTGACTGATGCTGACTTGCTCTCG